GAAGTCAATGGAAATCTAACCGCTCTTGACAGTGAAAGCTGAAGTAATGTTGTACCTAATTTGAAATTCCCTCTAGGCTAAGTGAGACTTTTCCTTTCATGTGCGATGTTTGTATCCCTTCTGGGAGACCTTTCCTCTGTACCCTGCTTGGTTACACGCGGTGTTGACAGATGATTAAGACGTGAAGTCTCTTAAATCGGAGGAACAGCCCAAGTTTTGCATTGTGTGCTCAGGTGTTTACCCACAGCGTTTTTATCGTCTCAGCCTGACTTTGAGGTTTGGGACTTGCTGCCTCTTGCAGCTCGAGGTCTCCCCAGCAAAGGAGACGCTGAAGGGGACGATGAACCAGAGTTGGACGGGCGAGATACCGCAGGGACAAACAGTCCTTTGCTGGTAGCGACATGTTCATAGTGGACGATCTTACTGGATTTGCTGGTGTCCTTACAAGTCACCTTAGGCTTGGTGGAGTCGAGGAGCAGAAGCTTCGTGGAGGCTCTGCTCCCTGTCCCCACCGAGCAAACCCTGCGAGGTGACTCGGGGAAACTGCCGTCGCCATCTCTGCAGCTTTTGGCTGTTTCCAAAACCCAGGGTTAAACGGCGTCGCTGTGGGGGGCTCTGGACGCCGCCCCGGAGCCTCGTCACCCCGGTCTGCGCTGGGTTTTGGGAATCCAGGTGGGGCAGGCGACACCCACGAGGCATCTTGCTGTGCAGGAGATGCAGCTTGTGATGGGATCAAAGGGTTGTTTGTTTTTTTTCCCCAGCAGCTTGTACAAAACAAACAAACGAAGACCAAACTCCAGCTGATTTGCCGTGGTGCCTGGCGGGAGTGTGCTGGGCTGGGCTGGGCTGGGCTGGCAGCAGCGGGAGCTTCCCTCGCCCCCTCCGCGCAGACCCTAAAGCCAAGGCCTGCAGCCGGCCGTGCCCGGCCTAAGTGCTGGGAGGTTGGGCCGAGCCCAAGCAAGGCTCGGTCATGGGCCATGGAGCATGGGCGGGCGGGCGGCGCCGCGCCAGAGCCACCTCCTCACGGCGGCGCTTGGGTGGCTTCCTTGCTCCCCCTCCCCCTGATCTCCATGTCTTGACTTTTCCAGGCACTTTCCTCCTATAAGAATATTAAACACATTTAAAAAACACTTAAATGCTAATGCGAAACCTGAAAAGAGGATGTCAAATGCAAGAGGCGCTCTGAAGACATGATGATGTCTCTGTAGAAGGGTTTGACCCCGGTAATCTAATTTGCTTTACATTTAAAATGATACTTCATTCTCTTATTATAAGGCTCTGTGTCATTGGCTCATAAAGATTACAATTTCTTGTCTCCCAATTGTAATAAATCCAATTCAAGCACCCTCTTGATTTGAAATTTGTCACAACAACATGCAGAGGGCACAGTTCCTGAGTTTTATGGCACGGGTGCATTAGAGACTCATCTGCAGGAAAGATGATGCAAGACTATAAAATGATTTGTCCCTCTCCTTTCTCAACTGCATCTGTGTTTGAAAAAAAAAAAAAAAAAAAAAA